GAGATCATCAGCAGAATAAAAGAGCCCATAAATTGGGAAAAAAATTATAGCAGACTGTCCCTCAAAGGACTTCTATCTAGAACATACAAAGAATTAAAAAACCAGGCCCTCAAAATTCAAAAACCCATGGGCTGGTGAAATGGCTCAGTGGTCTAAAGCACCTACTTAGAACAAGCTTAGCAGAGCATAGGGACCGCGGTTCAATCCCCAGCACCACATGCCAGCCAGCCCCGCCCCCTGGTGGGCTGAGCTGGCCACACACACACACAAACAAATAAATAAAAAAAAATTAAAAAAAAAAAAATTCAAAAACCCAATCCAAAAATGGGCATCTGAAATGAACATACACTTCTCAGATAAAGAAATACAAATGGAAAATTAACATGGAAAAATGTTCAACATCATTGGTTATTTGAGAAATGCAGGGCCTGAGTTCAATCCCTGGCTCCGCAAGAGAGAGAGAGAGAGAGAGAGAGAGAGAGAGAGAGAGAGAAATGCAAATTAAAACAACACTGAGATTCCATCTCACCCAAGAAAGAATAGCAATCATTAAGAAGTCAGCCAATAACAAACACTGGGGAGCTGTGGGAAAAACAAGACCCTTGTCCACTGTGGGTGGGAGCATAGACTGGTATAACCACTATAGAAATCATTGTGCAATTTTCTCAAAAAGCTAGGATTCAAAGCCCCACTCACCAAGCTATTCCCCTTCTTATCTTTTCAAAGGAACTGCCAACACTGTACCACAGTGATATAGGTATACCCACGTTTATAGCAGCACAATTTCTCATAGCTAAATCTCGTAAGCCTCCCAGACACCCACCACCGGAGGAATGGATAAAAAAGATGCACTATTTTTGGGGCTGGAGAGATGGCTCAGTGGTCTAAAGCACCTACTTGGAACAAGCTAAGCTAAGCAAAGCACAGGGACCGCGGTTCGATCCCCCAGCACCACATGCCAGCCAGCTGCGCCCCCTGGTGGGCTGAGCTGCCCCCCCCACAATAAAAAAATGTTTAAAAAAAAAAAGATGCACTATTTTTACATAAGGGTGTATTACTCAGCTATAAAAATAAACTTGAGGCTTTTACAGGTAAATAGATGCAGTCAGAGACCATATTCTTAAATGAAATAAATCTGGAATAAGGATTTTTTTTTTTGCTCCTCGAATGCCTTCAGGGCACTTTTGGCTGGCTGGAGTGTTGTGAGGATCGAACTCCAGCAACCTGAGGCTGACAGCTTGGTGGAAGCAGCCACTTAAAGGACTGAGCTAGGGCCAGGCCCCCTCATAAATGAAATAAATCTGAACCTGCATGTACAAACATTATATCGTCTCGCTAGTATAAGAACTTGAAAGAGTAAATAAAATCTGAAAAGTACAATTAAAAAAATTTTGGTTTCATTCTGTAGTGATTACCTACTTACTTATGAGAGTAGCAACAACTTCAAAACAGATAAGTTGGTTATTCTGGAATAATTTTACAAACGGAAATGCCAAGAGAGGAACATATGGTGTGTCACTGAAGATGGCAGACCAGTGCGCTAAGGCTGATAGGGTTCTGTGAACAAAACAGACCAGAAAATAACTTAAAATTTATGTGAATGATACATTTACATGATAAAAATTCAATACAGAAGGTAGATTTGGTAAGAACTGTCCTCTTACTCCTTTATTTTTTACTTTACCTCTGTAGAAGCAATCATTGTTAAAAGCATAACTCTTTCCCAGCACTCAGGAGGCTGAGGCAGGAGGATCACTGTGAGCTTGAGGGCAGTCTGGGCTATACAGTGAGTTCAAGGCCAGCCTGAACTATATAGCAAGATCCTATCTCAAACAAACAAACAAACAAACAAACAAATGGGCATATAAATTTTTTAAATAAAATCTCAATTAGAGATATACTATAACTATTCTGTATCTTGTATTTTTGAGGTAATAGTTAACCGGAAACAGATTTTTCAGTACATGCAGAGCCATTTGTCTCATATTTTAGAGATAATTATGACAGATTTTTACAAATATACCCGATATCCGACCAACCCCAGGCCCTACGAGTGTGGAGGAGAGCTTCTGCTCTGTCCTGCACCCACCCGCAGCTCCAAGCCCAGGCCCGGCGCGTGAGAGAGGCCTTTCTCTGCGTTCTCCGGACCTCCCCCGCACAGCCAGAGCCAGCACGGCCCATCCTGTGAGTGAAAACTTCTGCCGCGCTCTTGGGCTTCCTGCAGACCCACCAAAGCACAGTCCCAGTGAGTGTGTGGGAGAGCTTCTGCACTCTCTTTCCTCCACTCCTCAAACCCCTCCAGACCCAGCCCAGACCTGGCATACAGCCTGGGGTAAAACCCTGCAGCTAAAGTCCCTGCAGTGAGACTAGGGTCAAAACCACACAGCTAATCCAGGAACAGAACATCTTACCAGAGGGGTACAGCAGGCCCACCTCCAAGGGCAACAACAGTAAGGAGCTGAGCACAGTAGCCAGACCCAGGCCAGGCACAACTGCATGGACTAGAACTTGGCATATCAGCACTCGAATTTCATTAAGTGATAAGGACGTAATTGCACCAAAGCTCTGCATCAAAGGTCAGAGGTCAGTGCTATATGAAATGATAAAGACAAGGAGCAAAATGCAATCTCAGGGCTCGAGTCCACCCATAACAAGTGCAGAGGACACTAGCTCAGCTGAAATAAATGAATCAATAGCATCGGAAGTAAACAAACAATAGCAAAAAAATATAGAGGAACTCAGAGCAGAATTTCTGGAACAGGAAAAAAAAAAAAAAAAGAAAAAAGAAAACTCTGAATTCATAGCATCTGAACTTAAGAATCAAATGCAGAAACATAAAGAGAAAACACAATGCCCACCCAGAACAGGTGCAGTGGACACTAGCTTAGCAGAAATATATGAATTAGTAGTGTCAGAAGTAAATAAGCCAAGGAGTCACCAGGGAGGAAGGTTAAAGACAAGCAGGGACACCTTCATGCATACACTTGTAGGTACAGAACAAGAAGCGAAGCTGGCTCCAGATCTGGGACTCCATCCCCTCCTCCAGGTGGACTTCCACCGGATCGGATAGGCACAAGAAAAGGAGGCCCAGTGTGGGCTGGGCATATGGCTCAGTGGTACAGTGCTGGTTTAGCATGTGCAAGGCCCTAGGTTGTATCCCTAACACAAAAGGAAAGAAGGAAGAAA